GGGGGGTGGGGGGGGGATCTTTGTGGTTGATCTCGGAGTGGATTTTCTTGTCTCGAGTGCAGAAAATGAAATGACCCTTGTACTATCATTTTTCAGCTAGGCAAATTTGTGTTGATACGCTCCTGTTTTTCTAAGAAATGTTTGAAAAGACATTAAAATCCACGTGTTAGGAGTCACTGGTTAGAGACAGCAGTCTCTGGGAAATTGGCCCATATAGACCTTCTCTTTTCTTTGATGAAGTCTATGTCCTTTGATTGGAGTATTTGGGGTGTTGGAAGTTTGAACCGTGTTCCTGGGCTTTAAGAGAAAGCATTCTCTAGCCAGAGACAGATTACTGGACTTTAAGGAAAGCATCTGCTACCTTCATTGTGGGCCAGGAGCTGGCCCTGACATCCTCGCATCCCCGATGACACTGATGGACAGTGGATTTAAGGCATCATTTGGGGGACTGAAGGTTAAGGTGAAAAACGTTGGTCATCCTTCATGGTCCCTTTGTATAATTGTATAAAATGAAACACAGTGCAGAAGTCCTGATGCAAAGCATTCCCTTTAGCTGCCATGAAAGAACGCGGGGAAATACTCATAGTGGGAAAAGTAGAGAATATATTGTTCATTTTCGGTCTTGTGAAACGAAGTCAGATCTCCATGTTTACCTGCAATTGGTTCCAACTGGGCCATGCCAGTTGGCATTATGTATTATTTATTACATGGATTAAATTAGGGGCCAAAGACACCCAAAGTATGACATTGAAGCATTGTGGTAACCTAAGAGGTCTACAGAATAAAATTCTTAAGGAGTGGGGGCATGGGGGTTGGGAAGGTGGAGGAAGAGGAGAGTACCTTAAGTTTTCGAATGAATGGGTTGCTGCTGAAGATTGGTGTCTTACCCAAGGTCTTTATGGTCAGCACATTGATTCAGATAAACAACACTCTTGCGAACAGCAGTGGGGAGGCCACACCAGGATCACTTGTAGTTGTTCACAGGATCTTAACTGTACAGAGAATGACATAAAGGAAAATAAGTCATTTCTATTTACCGTATTCCTGGCTCACTTTTAAAACCTAAAACCAACAGGAAACTTCAGAAAGAGAGGAAAAAGAAAATGCAATTCAGATGGTAACGGCGTTTTAAAAGAAGAGAAGTGGGCTGGAGGGGAATATTTTTCTTTTATCTTAAAAAAAAAAAAAACAGCTTCACATAATTTTAGTTTGGATGCTTGTGCTGTGAGTATGCATTCAGGTAAACAGTTGATATATTTGATAAATAAAAGTGATCGTTTAACAAAGAAAAAAGAAAATAGTTCTGGAAATGGAAGTTTTACACTTTGGAAGAAAAATGAACTGCAGACTGTTGTCCTAGTTGTTGATTTCTGATTCTTCTAGGCTCGTAGTGATGCAGACTCAGGCCCCAGTTCTAATCCCTAATTTTCTTGTCTGTTATATTGACACATTTCATTTAATTTAGCATGATGGCAAACAGCTGTTGAACTATTCATCTTTTCTCTGCAATGCTAGAAAAGTACCTTTCCGATTACTTGGCTAATGTATCCTAAAAACTAAAATCGACAGAAATAAATAAATGAGTGGTCAAATGTGGATATGCATTAAAATTTATGGAACCTCAGAATGGAGGAAACCATGATTTGTATCCCACTGCCAATTTTTTTTGGTATGAGTAAAAATTAAAAGTAGCCAATTCTGTATTGCTTTAGTAATTGTACGTTGGAGGGTCACTTGTATAATTTTGTTTCCCTAGGGGAAAATTACACTTGTAAAATCTATGAGGGTAAATCAGCTTATAATTTTGCTCTGTGTTCACTGACACACGGTACTGTGTAGACAGGTGCGTGGAGAAATAGCCCATTTCTTACCTGAAATCCTCCTACAGGTTTGAATACAGGGTTCAAGATAACTTTATTCAAAGTAGGCATTTTTGCAGTGTGGTTTTTTTTTTTTTTCCTTAAATTAAATTTTAATAAGGTCCAGTTGTTTGCCGGGCCTATATGATAGCAATCTCATCTGCATTGCAAAGCCTAATACTGTATAGATCTGACTGCCAAACATGCAAAAATAGATGCAACTCAATAGATTAACATGAAAATTAGTTTAGAGAGCACGCATTGGAGAACATCTCAAGGAAAAAGGAGGGAGAATGGCTGTTCTTGCCTTGAATTGAGTGGAACCTGCCAGTTCGCTTACTTTCCATTTAAGATTGCCTGAGCGATGAGATGGAAATTTCTGGGGTGTAAGATTGCTGCCGTTTCTTGTATTTAATGTGCTCTTTTCGCTTGGGAGGCCGGGGGCTGCTTTGCCAGCCTCCCCATTACCTTGAGGACCCCAACATCATTGCTCCCCGTTTTCTCACCACCAGATGCCTCGTGACAATTCTCACCAGTGGCGAAACCAATCCTGGAGTCACACATCAGCAGTGTGCCTCAAAATTTTCATTTTCAATTTGAATTGTTTTGTGTAAAAACAAAAAGGTTTGGGGCGGGTTGCAAAATAGTAATTTTAAGTCCCAGGGCTAGGGTTTTCCCCCACCCAAATGGTGAACATTTATGGTGAAAACCTCCAATTTCCTCTTACAGTAAACATGAAAATTATGATTTCACTCAGAGCCTGCATTTTTTTCCAATCTTTATGGCAAGAATCTGCATACACTTGCTTGTGGAAATGTCATAAATTGGCCTCAGATCAATTCCTCAAAGATAGTACTCACCAAAGTGCCACTTTCGTATTTTAGCCCTTGTGAAGAAGATTTAACTCTTCTCAATAATGTTTGCCTTTCCACATTCAGGGCTGACAGCGGAGGGATAAGCAGGGATATATTCTGTATAAAATTAAAACCACTTCATTACATATTGTTCTGAAGAGTGAGCAAAAGGATATTAACATTTTAGGAAAATGGTGATCTGGTCTTAGCATCTTAAAAAAAAAAAATTACATGAGCATTTGGTCAGCTGATGGGGAATGAATCCTGTACCCTGTCGGTAACTTGATCTAAATTAATAAACAAATGTTTTTCTTTTCACTTGTGCCATATGTTGATCCCAGTTACATGGGCAGAAAGAGGCAGCTTGTAATGTTTCTTAAAGGATTACACACTGTTTTGCATAAGAGAGTATATGCAGATGCAGGATAAAACATGTTCCAGGCTTTCTTTGTGTTTTAGGGAGCTTGATTTCAATTGTTTATTTCATCTGACACAAACCATTTTTATTTAACTTGGTAGATCTGGTAGATATAGGCTAAGTGGAAAACACTGTGTGAACAGCTTTCACCAACGGATTAACCACCCCCCCCCCCAAACTTGCAGATCCTGGTTCATTTTGAAAGGTCCAGGTTGGCATAAAGGCATCTCGTCTCTCAGAACTCACTCTCTTCCTAAGGGGGAAAAAACCCCACAAGCCTGTGCTTTAATGAAATCAGAGATGTCGTGGATGCTAACCAAACAGACACGTTCAGGGAGCAGTCTGGTTTCCAAAAACAAAAGCCTATGAGTCACGTATTATTGCACAAGAAAATAAATTGATGGAGGACAAGATGAGAAAAAGTTCGTATGCAAAATTCGCCATGTTTCACCTTGACTTTTTCCACCCACGTTATTTTTGTTGTCTTGAGGAGCTCACCGGCCTGTGCACTGGATCAGTGGTCTTGGGACTTGTTTTGATTAACTCTGAAAGTCACTTGCCATGAAATGTGCCAGAGTTCTTTTGCATCTGTCCCTGGCACATAGGTGGTTGCTCCTTTCTCTTGACATTCAGGTTTTGATGTTCTCTTTTGTTTTCAGGGTAAGAAGTGACCTTTTGAGGTGACTATACCTGAAGATTGCTTTCCGGAAGCCAAAAAAGGTAAACGCGATGTGATTCGTGGAATTCTATCTAGGGCTGTGTTTACCACCTCTAGGTATACCTTAATTCATTTCTTTCCCAATCTACGTAGCTACCAAATGTCTGTGAATTTATTTACGTAAATATTATGTTATAGCATCATTTGGGAGATGTTTACAGAAAAGATTGCCCTGAAGAAATGGTCCACAGAGTGACATTTTTCTCCCAAAAATGATCAAACTTCCCCTTTGTTGAAGCTGATTTTGTTGTTGTTGTTGTCGTTGTTGTTGTTGTTGACTTGGTGAACCCAAACTTTGACAGGAATATTCACATCACAAAAGCGGTGATTCATAAAAATTCGCTTGCTCCAAATGAGAGTAGCCCATGTCCCTGTTCTGTGCTGAAGTGGTGTCATCTGATTGATGTTCATCTGGCGGCTTTATAATCACCTTCTTTCAGAAATTAATAGTCATAGCACCATAGCAACACGGCACATTGATAGAACTGCAGAGCGGCGTGGGCCACATCCCTGTGATGTCAGTACTAGGCTGCCTTGTTCTCTTGACCTTGCTTGAAAATCAAATGAGTATTTGATTTTAAAATTAGAAGTTTTCAGAGAGACTAATGTAGCTTGATGAATTAAAGCTAAATTAAATTTTCTCAAACTCACTTTTGGGAGGGGGAACAAAAAAGCACTCTGTTTAAAATGGTTCTGGATGCTACATTATTTTCTCGATTCCCAAAGTCTCTCTCTGGTGCTCATCTCACACAAGTTAATCTTGCAGGCCGTTTTAATGGCCAATGTTTCTCTTGTAGAATCTTCATTTTATTTTTGAATTTTGGCCAATGATAGCTCCATTCGATTTAGTAGATTTGTGTCTGTTTTAAAACAGGTTACTTGAGGGCCTGGTTGCACAAGGGCTTCACTCAGATATTACTAAATTAAGTTTATGAATTTGTAAGACACAGACTTCTTATTCTTCAGTTGAACCTGTTTTGGGTTTTTTTTTTTTTTTTCTTCTTTTTGAATCTTTACAATGTGAAGATTCTTAGATTACTTTTGTGTTTCATCTCACTGAGCATTTTGAGGTTCTAGAACGTATTTTACGGGTATGGATTTATTTTTCTAGTTGCGTTCTTCCGGCACACTTGATCTGAGGTCAGAAATCCAACTTGCCCCATTTCACCATCTTTGTTGTCTAAATTAAATCTTTGTGAGAAGCCTCAGATTGTCCTCTGCAGAGGACAGCTCCTTTTATATGCTCCAGTGTGGAAAGGGTTGATCCCAAGCAGTTTTGGGGCTCATCAAGTCAGGGCGGGACTTTTGACAAAGCTCTTCCCCTTGCTGACGCTCAGTGGTCCAATATTAAAAATGAAGGCTTTGTTAATTTCAGGGATCTGCAAACTTTGCATGTCAAGGGCCATACGAATTATTTTCTGTTGGCGGGCCATTCCTTCCTTGCCATGAATTATTTTCTGTTGGCGGGCCATCCCTTCCTTGCCACGAATTATTTTCTGTTTCTGGGCCATTCCTTCTCTGCCACAGCTGCTCAGCTAGGCAGCAAGTTTGTCTCCCGGTGTCTCTGAGCCCTGCAGAATCTCAGTCCAAGATGTTCCTCATGCAGAGCTGTGCCAGGTGTTTTAACTCATCTCGTGCCTTTAGCAAAGATTTCTGGCAAAGCTAAAAACTGATTAAACAAAGCTGAATATATGGTCGAAGAGATGAAATATTCACCTTGAGAATTGCGTTACCCCACAGCCTCAAATACGGGCATCCTAAGTGGGTTTTCATTGTTTTCTCTGGAGTCACCTGTAAGCATGAATGATTTTCCCTGTGACTTGATGTCTTTATGATGGCCTATGCTAACACCCATGACTTGAAAATGTGCACGTTTGAATTTGTGCGTTGCGGTTTGTTTCCAATTCTGTGATACTGTTCAAAGTTTAAAATATCGTGAGTCAGGGGCAAGTTTGGGGAGGAAAAAATAGTTTCTAGGAATTTTTCATTAGTGTTGACTAAGGGAGGTAGTCCATGGCGACAAAAAAATTGTTTCTGTATAATATCAAGGACATGTGATATACTGCAAATAAGGAATGCATTGTCAAATGTCAGGAGCAGTGAAAAATTTTGTCCTTCTGATGGCTCTTGTCATGACACAATGGAAGCTGATTAACAAATTCATAAAACTTTTAAACTTGACTGCTAGGCAGCTCAGAGTAAGAGTTTTTGCTCAATGTCTCTAGTTTTTTTTTTTTTTCACATTCCACATTTTTGTTATTGATATCTTTTTATATAAACTTCGTTATCTCCTACCCCCAGTTAACATTGTGTTGTTTAATTTGTTTTTCTTTTATAATATCAATTCTTTTATTTGACCTTCATTTCAAATTTTATTTTCCTTTAGACATCAGTTAAGGTGCATAGACCTAAATAATAAATCACCTGTATTTTTTACCTTTTAACGAGCTCAAAGATCCTTAAAACACGAATCCTTATATATTTTGATCTCTTATATATGAAGAAAAAAAAGTTTGTTAAACTGTAAAATCTAAAAAAGATCTGTAAAATGGTTGGAATGGCTAGTGTTTCTCCCCAGGGAATAAATCTTAAACAGAGAAGATCATGCTATCCAGTGATGATCGAGAAACCAGCACCATCTCCAAATCATCAAGAAGAGGTAGATTCAGATGCCAGGAGCTTCTCAGTAAATGCCATGCCCGCATTTGAAATCTGGGAATCATTAACAGTCAGCATAGATGCAAATAAATATGTCTACATTGGCACTATGGGAAAAACTAGTTATGTGCATAAAAGTGGCCAGGCATATTCAGAAAAACAGATGAAGCCATTTTTCAAATTTAGATTCAAAGGTCTGACGAGTCATAAGTAACAGTTATCTTACTTGCTAGCGATGTGACAGTTTTCTTCCAAGTGGATCTGGGCACTTTACAAAATGGGTTTGGTTGCCAGCGTTCTTGAAAGGTGGGTGGCAATCATTATAATCCCCACTTTACAAACTGGGAAGGTGGTTCCATAGATGATTAGTAAGTTACCCACGGTCATGTAGATTTTCAAGACTGGAGGGGCGCCTGGGTGGCTCAGTCGTTGGAGAGTCCGACTTTGGCTCAGGTCATGGGTTCGCAGTCCGTGAGTTCGAGCCCTACGTCGGGCTCTGCACTGACATCTCGGAGTCTGGAGCCTGCTTCTGATTCTGTGTCTCCCTGTCTCTCGGTCCCGCCCCTGCTCGTCCTCTGTCTCTCTATCAAAAATAAATAAACATTAAAAAAAATTTTTTTTTTAAAAAAGAATGTCAAGACTGGACCTAAAGAGGCATGTTGCTCAGGTCACAATTCTATTGATGTCATTTTATCATGGCGGCCTTAGTTTGGTGACTTAATAAAGGTTTATATGTCATTTTCTCTCTGCTGTCCCCCAATGTTGGCATTTTACCTACATGCATTTTTGCTTACAATTCAAATCCAGTTTGTAAAATTCATCTTCTTGTAGCAGTTCTGAGTGGCATTAGGAGTGGATGATAATCATCAAGACCGTAAAGATTACAATTGACTGGTTATTTTTAAGGATTTTAGACATCTTCAAGCTTCACATTTATGTATTGGTTACCTTTTTTAAAATTTTTTTTAAGTTTATTTATTTTGAGAGAGAGAGAGAGAGAGAGAGAGGGAGGAAGGGGCAGAGAGAGAGGGAGAGAGAGAATCCCAAACAGGCTCTTTGCTGTTAGTGCAGAGCCTGACGTGGGACTCCTTCACATGAGCCGTCAGATCATGACCTGAGCCAAATCAAGAGCTGGGTGTTTAACTGACTGAGCCACACAGGTACCCCTTTAATTTCTTTTTTACAGCCAACTTATTTGTGAAAAAGAAACAATCTAAAAGCTAGTATAATCATTTCTACCCCCAGTTTGAGCTCTTTTTTGTTGGCTCAGGGAGTGTAAAGCATCCTTATAGACTCTGCTCATTGTGTCTTGCATATTGTAAATTACATCTTGTTTGCAAATAAAGGTAAAAATGACTATTCAGCTACTTAAAATACATCCATTAGTTCTTTTGAAAGTGTGTATTTATTTGATGTAAATATTTAGTGGCAGTAAATTCAAAGTTAAATCACTTTCAAAATGACCACTTGATAGAATTCAGCATTTGAATTATGTGATTATTAATTCATCAACTTGTTAATGAAGACATAACAACTTGATGTGTCTTCATTGAGCCACCAGATGACCACACTAGCTGAATCACTAGTTTATTCTGTTCAGTTAAACATTGAAGTCCTTCCCGCTCCCCCCTTCTCTTCACATATCCATGCTTGCATTGTAACAGGGTGAAGACTAGCCTGGTACAACATGGAGACCCCAACATACAGTGGCTTAAATAAAATAGAAGTTTACTTTTTTCTTATGTAAGACTCTGGCCAGTCTAGCTTGACTGACAGGTTCTTTCTTTTGCTCTCCTACCTTGGGATTTTGTTATTATTCACATGGGTAAAGCATAGTGGAGAAGTCCAAGGCAAGCTATCGTCTCTGATGCAAATGAGTTAAAAATTGCACACATCACGTCTATTGACCCTTAATTGGTAAGATTATGGTTACATGGTCATAAGAAGCTCCATTGGCTGCTGGGAAGTATCTATACCAAGGTGTCCAGAGCATGAGAGAATTGGAGAATAGATGTAAGGGGACATTTCGAACACAACAACTTGATTGATTGAATTGGCCCAATTCAATGATTTCTTTCTTTCTTCCATTCATTCATTCATACAAAAGTGCATACTGCATACATGCATAAATTCCTACTGTAGATATTTACTGATGATTATGATGATGGTAGATATTTACTGATGATTGCTAAGATCATAGCAGTACATAAGAAGGACATGGTCTTATGGGTGCCAGGTGACTTTTTTGGTTAAACGTTTGGCTCTTGATTTCGCCTCAGGTCGTGATCTCACGGTTTGTGGGATCAAGCTCCACGTGGGGCTCCGTGCTGACAGCATGGAGCCT